TTGCGGACTATGTACTCGCAGACATCCTCACGCTTCGGTATAAAGAAACCTTCTATGTACAAAATTTGCTTGCGTTCGATGGAGCGTAGGAATTTTTTATTCTCATCCTTCTCAGCACGCTTTAGTAGATCTATGGAGAATCCTGCTGAAGCGCCTATGTTCGCATAAAGCGCTGTCTTATCTTCGTATACTAAACAAACGCATTGGCCTGTGGGTGTTTCTGTGATCGTTTCAATTCTAAAATTATAAATAAATTTTTATTTTCAATTTGAATTAATTTAAATAATTTGTTGTCATTTGAAAGTAGTTATGGAAATGGTTAAGAATAGTGAGTTGTTTATTTCATAAGCTGAGAGGCGTTTATTGTCAGAGACTTAGCACGAACTGTCTAATTAAAGTGTGCTTAGTTTGTTTTTTCTAGCACACAACGTCATCAAATATTTGCACTTCAAACAAATTCAAGCAATGAACGAGAAAACCGGTGGGGTTTTTCTAGATATACCTACGTACATTTATTAGTAACTGGATTTTATTTAGATTTTTACGCTATGAAAATAGTTTTCCCTGTTATGGTGCAATAAAATTACTTTATGCAAATGTACGTGAGAAAAACTGATCCAGCTGAATCGATTATGGAAACTGAGTCAGGTTTTTATGATGCACAGATATTTTATTGTTAATTGTGTTATTAGCAAATCGAACTGAGTTCGTAGCAGATAGGATATAAATTTTTAACAGATATTTTCATCTTCAGTTGCAAAGCTAAATACGTATTGTATGAAGTTTGTATTTATGCAAACTGGGGATTTACATTTCCTTTTTTTTTTTTGGTAAAAGCAAGACTGATATTGCGAGCAGTGACTAAGCAAAAAGTTAATCCAAATATTGGGACTTTTCTTATTAACAACAAAATAAACAATACCATAACGGTTATAAACAATAAAGTTATTTTGATACTATACTAAATGTGATGCACATATGTATGAATATTATTAATATGTTGTAAGTAATACTATATTATATTTTATATAACATCTAGTAAAAAGTATCAGAAACGTGTCAATTAATCTACACATGAACCATCTTTTAATGGCTTCTACTGATATCGATTTTTAAAGCCTCCTAGTGATTAATTTACTTTTAAGACTTTTTTGAGTGAATCATAAATGGATAATAAGACGCATTTACAATCTTCCTCATAACTACACATTCAAGAAGAATTAGATTTTCTGAGTGCCACAACTTTAAGGCAAGTTATCTCTACAACTGAAACATAGTGGAACTTGCACAGTATTTAAGAAATCCCTTTTCAAATCACAGCGCCTGGATTTTAGAATATTGTCAAATATTCATATAAATGCCATTATGTAGGATGAAACGCCATTGCATTACCGAAGACAAGTAGAGATCTAAGCCAGTGACACTCAATCTGAAATGCTAATAAATCTCATTTCCTTTGAAGAAATTAAGTCTGAATTTTGTCATGTTAGTTTTACAGGAAAATGTGGGGTACAACAATATAATAAATTATTTTACTAAAAAACTACTAACTTTCTATCATAAATTGTAGTATATGTAAAAGTATGTGATATAATCAGGGTTATTTTAGTTACGGAACCCTATTTGGGAAGTAAAACCACATTGGGTTACTAATTCAATATTGCATTCCGTGTAATGAATGTGCATATATATTGACACATTATTAATTCCAGATTTAAATGTATTCATGCGTTTAACTACTTAAGTACACAAAAATATAAATTTTACAACTCTTATAAATTACATCATTAAAATGCAATAAAGTAAAGATTCAGTATTTGACTATAGAGGCAAAAGTAAATGCATTTCTTAAAAAAAAAAAGAAATATGAGTAAAAAATGTCGGAAATTTCAGAAATTTTGCAGTAGCAAAAATTGCTTTAGTTAAAATTTAACAAAGAATTCTTTTAACTTGAGATACGAATGCAAACTACGTGCATTAGAAGAGATAAGATTAATTAAAGTTAAAAAATTATGACCGACCTTTGCTTTTCTAAGAAATCGAAAATAAGAAAAAATTGTTCGATATCTATTAGATATTATTGTTCATCTATTCTTTTATTATTATTATACTTATTCAATAAAGCTCAAGAATCTTTAAGTAGTACTCACCTATTCTACTATATAATTCAATTGATCTTCAAACTATTTTGAACTACTATAACTCTCGGCTAATATCAGTTCATATTTTATCTAAAAACTTAAATGTAATAATCTGCTAGCAGTTTTTTTGAGCGAAAAACCCCAATTGATTATAGATAGATCAATTGCGCGAATACTAGCATATCATATACTCTTCCCTCTCAAATTCTCTTGAAGTAAAATTTACTGGTTTCAAAAATTTCTTTAAACTCTAGGGTGAATACTCGATTTTCAATGTCAAACAGGTAATAATCGATTACTACGTAAATCCTGCCATTTTAATAATATAATAAAATCAAATCTCCAAAATATTCGAATACTGAATATTCATTATCATTTCAATTTTTTTTAAATGCAATTCACTGAACTTAAAATCTTCTATTAGTTCTACCGTGGTTACTCATATAATATGTATTTCCTGCCATTTAAATTTTCTTAAGATAAAATTTAATAATGTCAACCTCTTCTACGCAATTCATTGTGAATATGTAAATACTACGTATTCTCTTATATTTTAATTTGGTTATAATTCACTGACCTCAAAATCTGCAAATCACTTCGTTCTACTTTAATTCAAAATTTAATAAATCTTTATTTATAAACAAAATATGTCGACGCTTTTATGCTATGCTAGTATTTAAAGTCACTCAAGAATAAATTTAATTAAGAATTATGGATTTAATCAATCTATTCATATACAATGAAGTGCTTTCATTTGTGAGGATTAAACACATTTATATGAACTTCTTTAAAAGACCTTGAATGCAATCGTAAATCATAAAATACAAAAATATGGATTAAATTGATAAACAATAATAAATTGAATTTTTAATGTCTGAAGTTCTTTTAAAAAAAAATATAAGTATTAAGTGCTAAAAGATAGCACAAACACATATAATATAAACAAATATAAAAGTGCCTACAGTACTCATATCATATATATATGTGAATTCTATATAGTTCTATGTTGTATAAGCAACGTTTCCATATATAATTAATTCCTTATATTATTTTTTTTTGAATTCCCATTTCCACTTATTATTCTTTTTACTTACCTGGCATCAATTTCATAATCTTGCAGTCTGTCCCTTAACTCCTCTGCGTATTTATCATCGCCAACGGCACCAAAAAAGAGTGCTTCTGTGCCCAATTTTTTCAAAATGCGTACTGTGTTTAAGGAAGAACCTCCAGGATTTGTAATACAATTTGAACTAAAATAATTTAATTTTAATAATTTTAAATAAGAATTTCAAAAATGTAACCAACGAAAAGTGTCAAAACAAATTTAAAATGTCGCTAACCTCTCGCAAATCTCAGCTGTTAGTGAATTCAAAGTCTCCACACTCAGTTCGCCTTTCGCGTTCATTGATAGTTGAAAACGATCGAGAATATCTAAATCTGCGATTTGCACTGTGCGATCTAATAAAACATTTCCAAAAGCCACAACTTTCCGCGGCCTAAACAAATTATTAACCATAAAAGTAGAAACAAAAAGGTTAATTACGAAATCATAATTTTGTGTTATATTTAGCAACTCACGTGCCGGCACCCCAACCCGAATCGCCGTTGCTATCACCAAATATTTTCTCATAAAATTGCTGTAAGTATTCCATTGCTTCCAATATACAAAAAATAGCACTTTGAAAAAAATTATTAATTTTACAAAAAATTTAATTTGTTAAAATCGATAAAGAGAATTAACGGACGTCTCCCGGTCTTTTGGCACATTTACACAACACGGCCGCAAAAGTCGTACTAAACTCATTTCGTGTTATGTTATTATATTTACGCTGTAATTTGTTATAAGCTTGTGAATTTTTTATTGCTCTTTTTTAACTTAATTTAGGAAGTGGGAAAATTGTGTGCTTAATCATCTTACGCCTTCTTTCCAACTTCTTTTTTTACGTGAGCAAAAAATAAACACTAAAAACCTCGTCTAGTTGACAGTTACCATGACAACCTCAAGCTTTGTTAAGAAACGCTATATTTGTAGTAGACAGAGTTGCCAATTCTTTTTAGTCTTTTGTTGTGATTTCGTGTAGAACTAAGAACAGAATAGTTTTGCGTTGATTTGTTTATAAAATTCTTGTACGAAATTATTTTTATAAACAAATTCTTTTGATTAATATTGAACTAGTTGTTGATCGTTTATATGTGTTTTTTAATTGAAAAATTAAACATAATTGAAATTTGTTTTTATTAAATTGCTTATATGCAAAACCAGTACAAGCAATCAAAATCTTGTGGCAGATGGGAGTAATGTATATAAATGTTATAATGTGCCAAGTAAAAAACTATTTAAGTTTTACAACTGTATGTTTAATTAATGCTTAATTAGTTATGAAATTTTCAATGTTTAAAATGTGATAATAATCAAATAATCATTTCTTCATACTATTTAAAAAATTTATGCAATTACTTTACTCTATGTATTTTAAATTAATTGTATTTATTATATATATATGTTTGTAGTGTCACTCTTTTTTATATTATATGCACAAAATTTATGTTTACTAACTAAATATATAATGTTGTTTATTTTCAATTACGTTAACAAATATATATTCATTGTATATATATTTATTTAATGGTATATCTTTCATTATATTAGCCTATTAGTGATGTAAATTCACATTTGCAGAGTTTGATAATTTATGTTAATAAAAGATTAAAAGTATTGGTAACCCTTTGTCAATACATGTGCTTATGTACATTTATGTACGCTATCAACAATATACGTCGGTAAGTCTCCAAAAGCTTAGTTTTATAAACTTTTCATCATAACGACAGTTTTAGATGCGTTATATTACTTGTGCTTATAAAACTGTACGAATTAGTTGGCGTAGATTACTTGCGCTACTCAAACTGTTAGAATGAAAAATTTTAGTTGTATTGTGCCAGCGAAAAGTTTTCCTACAAGAAAAAGATTTAATTCAAAATAAATTACAAATGATAAAATTAACAGAATTTCAAACATTTTTTTTCTAAGTCACATAATTTTACTGTCATTAAAAGTATTAATATTTTTACATATAATATTTTATATAATACAAAATTAAATTTTATATTAAATTGATTTTTAACGTCCATTTTGACGAAATTGAACTAAACTAATTTCTTAATATAACCTATTGTTTTCCATAAAAATATTGCAACAACAAAAATTTATTTTTATTATTTTTAAATATTATTATTATTTATTATTATTATTTAATATCATATTTAATTATTTAAATATTTGACTTGTATATTTTATATCAATTAACGAACACATTATTAAAAATAATGATGTGTTTTTATGGTAGAGTAGCCTTACCGTCTATAATTTATTTCCAGCGTTGAGAATTTTTTCTTACAAATCAAAATTTTTGCTTACAAAAATATTTAATTGCATTTAACCTTGCCAATCATTGAAATGTATTGAGGCATCTACTTAAGCAGAATTGGAAATTTTCCAAATAACAAAGTCGTCCCCCTTCTCCTGCCAATGCAAGAATGTCTTTTTATCTTATCGTCCGGCGCAACATCGCGACGTTTTCAGCGAACAATTGTGAATTAATTTCCATATTCGAAAGCGTAAACAGAGTGCAGTTCATTAAACCTGTTAAGTAATGATTGGCTAAGTTTCCGTCACAAGTGTTGGGCAGAATCTCGAAAAGTTTCCACATCTGACTCGCAAGTGCGCAACTGACTGGAAACTAGTTTCTCGTCGCTACTGTCAATCCGTCCGGCGCTCTCTGTGCCGCACGTGATGAACTGCGTTTATCGTAGACAGACGAAGCGAAGCATGCAATCCAAGTGTACATACAGCGAAGTGTGCTTTCCTTGCGGCTTGACACAGTTAATCGGGGGATTTTTTTCTGTTTTAAGCTTGAAGGTGAATTTCCAAGTCTTGTGCTTCTTGAGACGCAAAAAAAGCAGAAAAAAACTAACTTAATTGCAAGTGAATTTATGGCTGAGTTGGAGAGCAAAAGAGGCGTTTCTTTTTTTTCTAAAAGTGACCCTGTCTCTACAAATTAAAATTTTGTTAATGTGGAAAATAAGCAACAAAAGTCCCCAGAAGTGTCCAAATAAGAAATAATAATTAATTTTATTTTAAATGATTGTTATTGAGCAATCTAATTTACAATGTGCTTTTCAAATTATTTTTCGAATTATTTTGGAATTATTTATTAGATTAGTTCTTTCACTAACCTTCGGGGTTTTTCTATTAATTAATAGACTTAATAAAAGAATCGTTTAGATTTCTATTATTTATTTTTATACTGAGTAGTTTTAATTTGTGTTGAATTCTGTTTTTATAAAATAAAACAAATTCTTTAATGATATTTAACAATAATAATTTATCTAAGTCAATTTAAGGGATCACCACTGGGGCAACATGTTATGGTAAGGGCCACAAATGTGTCAGCTTTCAGACAACTAACACCCACTACTGTTTACCTGTGTATTATGATAAGGTAAAGTTATGTTATAAACCACAAGTACAGAAAGGGTTTATATAAGATATTGACTTGACTGGCAACAAATTATATTTTTTATGAACCATAAGCCTAATACGATTTATTACTACATTAGCAGAAACATTTAGTGGGTTCGTTTGTTTGCAGTTCTCGTGAGTATGGAAAACGGTGGTGCATTGATAATTGTACCAGAAGTGGCAGTCGCAGAAAGAAGATGTAGTTCAAGACCGTGCGGAGTGAACAAGTTGAAGGAACACTTATCGTTCTTAATATTTAACTAGACTACAAAAAAGGCATACGCGATTGAAGACTCAAGTTTAGGGAAGACGGTGACTTATTGAAAAAGGTACTTAACTAAGAAGTCAAAAAAGAAAAAAACATGAAGGAGTGAACTATGAATGTGATGAAATAATGAAGTTTAGGGAACTCTAATTGTAATGGATATACCAAATTGGAAAAATGTGATACGAATGACGATATAGCGTTAAGTACTGAGACCTACTAGACTGACTTAAGACTTTATACAATCTCAACATCAGTAGTGGATTTCGGATACATTATTTCTTGGCAAATCTTCAATGTTGCATTGTTTATTTTGAAAATCTTGCAGCGTTTTGATAACAACGGTTATCAAACCCAAATATCTAAGAATCTGCAATTTATTTTTATTTTAATTTTAGTGCTGAAATTTCTGTTTCATTGCACTGCAAAAAAAGTTCAACAAACTCTTATCAATTGCAGTGTAGAAATTTAAATCAAAACAAAAATTCAAATTTCAAAAATGAAAAATGAGTAAAAACAAATAAAAACATTAAAATTAATCAATTTTTGTAAAACTTAATATGTTCGACAGTTTCCGGTCAAAATATATAAGAACCCAAAAGAAAGACGAAATAAAAAATAAAATCCATGGGTGTGCAATTTAAAAAAAAAAATTGCCAAAGGCGTACGTGCGAATTTATAATAAAGAAACCAAAACCTTAATTAATAATATTTTTGTTTACTTTTTTAATAACAAAAAAAAAATAAATAAATAAATAAATTGCCAACTATGCATTTAGGAAACAGTGAGATTTTATTTAATTGCTTTAAATGAAGCCCCAAAACTACATAATTTTTTTTATTTAATATTTTTGCAATATTCTTTTAAAATTTTTTAATATTTTTTTTTTTAATTTATTTATTTACTTATATAAATGAAGCACTTAATTAAATAAATGCGTTACCATTTGTGGTACATGTAAACAACCAGTGCCATGAACACATGACCCAAGTTGAATAATGCCACCGGCTGAAAAAGTTTCTAGTCAAGTTTTCACGACCCCGTTTCATGCTTTTATACAATAAAGAACTTACGAGTTCTTGGAAATAAAATGGTCAATAAAATAAAACGCAAATATGGGCCACACTTTGGTTATATGATCAGTAAGCCGATCGCTGAGAATTAAAATAATATTTTCAATACAAATTTGCTGACCTACATAACCAGTAAGAAGTTAAGACGGCGATGATATCATTGCAGTATATAAGACGAGAGTGCATATTGTATAATCATGCAATTTATATTAGAACCTTCAAATATAATATTAATTGGAGCTAGATAATATTACAAAATTATTATATTTATTTGTTTTCAACTGCTTTTTAAAAGTTTTAATTAGAAATAGCCGTGATTATATAGGTCACTTCCTTAGGTTACCATAATAATCGTTGCAGAATGTCGATCTCGATTCTTTCTAGTTGCTTCTGTTTCGTGCACTTCTTCTTCAATCTCATATGGACTCCTCCATCTTCTTTCTCTGACTATGGCTTGAGATACCATTCTTGCTATCGTCATGGCATAAATGAACTAACAAAGTCACTGAATAATAATTAGCTGAATAATTTCAATATCGGGTTAGACTAGTGATAAGTTATTGAAGCGATTCGAGTGATCCATTTAGTCTACTTGGCTGCTAGTATTACTGTACAAAAATCGAAGATTTCAAGCAATTGCGAACCTTTAGTATAATCAAAGGTGCTATTATTATTAATTTTTTATTAAGCAAAGTTGTGATTTATTATTAGATTGCATTTAATTATAATTTATTTTTATTAGATTAATAGACCTCCAGAGCAAATTACTCATCAGAATTAACAAAAAATATATTATATAAAATAATTTTTGTGATTGCTCAGTTATCGCACTAGATCATTGTAGCTGCAAGTACTAGCTTGAAAGTACTAATTTGATTTATATAATAAAATCTATTATCATTTTTCGAGAATCATTTTCTTCTCCAACTAAATTAAGTTTCTACAAATTATTATTAATAAATAATAAAATATCATTTTATTTAACAATAAAAGAGCCAATAAACGAAGTAGATTTCCTTTGAAAAATCTCCCCTGGAAAGATTTAACAGTGAAAATTACGCATAAGATAATTTTCACGACAACCATTAAGACCCCATCTCGATGTACTCAAGAAACAAGATTGATAATGGTTTTTCCTATAAAATAAAAAGTCATTTTGACTGACGTCAAATTTTCATCGTTTCTTGGTAGACAAAACGTTCTTGAAAATAAAATCAGAAATAGGCCAAAGAAAAGTGAAAAGTTGTTTTATTCTCGAAAATAAAAAAATTAAAAAATAATTAATTTATATTATCAATTTGGATAGCGGCCAAAATAAAGCAAGGGACTCACTCATATGTGATCGAAGACATGATGATTTCACAGCTGGTACAGAGAAGCGTGCGACTATCACAATTCATAAGAAAACAAGTGTCCAAGAAAGTGGACTGGGTATATTTCCCGAAAATTGAATGAAAACATATAATAAATTGGTTTTATTATCTATCTTTCTTGAGAATATATTAAAAAAAATTGATTTATTATCTGTTATATTTAAAATGATAATTGTTCGTAAAAATAAAAAAGAATTGTTACTCATGAACTTAATTCAATGAAATTAATAGTTGTCAAGGTGAACATAAATAAAATATAATTAGAATATCTATAAATAATATATGTTTTGGACAGATCAAATAGCTATTTGCGATTACTATCAAATATCTAACATTAGTAATATATTAATTAAATTACCTAAGTATAGTTACCCATAGATGTTCGACTAGAAATAGCAGAGACTATAGGAATATTTGGGCAACATCTCCAAACATGATATACACATTGTAACTTGTTCTATAACTATACTCTATAATATAAAGTATTAGAACCTATGTACAAAGAGCGTTCTACGAATTCGTATGATTGGACGAAATTTAATAGATTTAAATTTTATTCGCATAAAGCTCTCCATGAATCAGAATAGGTTATTGTAGCACAGATTCTAACATACATATATACGTCACACTGTGTAAATATATAAATACATATAAGATACATGTAAATAAGATAAGATAAATGTATTTTGTACGTTTGCTTGTTTGATAAGATTAAGCATATAAAGTGCAATATATTATTTTATTACCAAATTAATACATTTATATAAAACTTTAAAAAATGTAAGTTCCCATTTCTAAAGATTCCTGAGAAGTACAAAAGCAAAGTAAATAATCAATATATATACTAAATTACATTATTATATTAGCATTATTTTACTATAATAAACGAGTTGTGGTCTAACTGAAGAAGTCCCTTCTTAAAAGTGACTATGAGTCCCATGAATATAATGAATACACTTAAATGTGAATATAATTTTGGAGTAGAGTTTTATTAGGATAGGTAAGGACATTGTGATACTTCCAAAGTTGCCTAGGAGCATCAAGTAACACTAAATGTTGTTTACTCTTGGTACTATCCTTTGAAAACCATTTGCCATTTCATATAAAGCTTAAAAAAGAAGTTTACTTTACTCACTTCTATTAATCCTTTTTAAGTCCATAAATATATAAATCTATTTTAAAAAGGAAAATGTTTCAGTAGTAAGGAAAATTTATATCCAAAATTTACTTTTCAACCAAGTAAATTCTTTTTAAGGGTTTCATATATTACCAAATATATATTATCAATAGCCTTTTGAATTATTTAGTCGTATAATTGACCATATTTAATTTTTAGATTTCAAGTACCAGGCAACAATTGCTCTCCAATTTGAAACATGCAGAAAATTATAAACTATTATTTATATATTATTATTTCATTTTATATATATATGTATATATTTCATATTTTTTTATCTATTTTAGAACAAACTACAAAAACTTCTATATCAATGTTTAATAAAACAAAGACGTTAAATTTTTCCTTTTTATTATTAGAACATAGTGTTTCCCTTTATTTTTTCAAGTGTAAACTATGTGTGTAAAGAAAGTACCCGTAATATTACGCATCTGTTTAAATTATAGAATTTCCTTACAATAATTTAAAAAAAATTCTTTTGTTGCAGAATATTAAAACGGGTACTCACCAAAGTATAAAAAGTTGTATTTTATTAGTACACATAATATTAATAATTTAAATAAATAAAAAAAGTAACAATTTTTTAATTGTCACACATTTTTTTGCAATTTTTATTGTTGTACTTACCCGTGAATAAAAATTTTAAACGAAAAATCCCTAAATTATTATATGAGAATCACAAATTAAGTCTTAAGATAAAAACCAATTTTTAATAAAATATTTTTAAAGTTATGCTAAGAATATTAAAAATTTATTTTATACCTTTTACTCATTATATACACGTATGTATGTAAAACGTGTTAAGAATATTAATTATTTTATCATTATCATATAAAATAAATAAATTTTTTTTGCAAGTTCATATGATTAAATATTGCATAGACTTTTATAACTGATATTTATTTTTAATATTAACCGAGATATAGTCAAAGCAAATCTACAAGAAAAAGAAAACTTCAGTCGAAAATCCGAAAATTTGAATTTCTAACTGACAATTTCCTCGGTCTCTATAAAGAGGATGAAGTAGAATTATAATAAGTCTCTCTCTACTGGATCATGTGTTTTTTATTACCTATGAACTGGTGAAAAAGAATTATAACACAATTCGCTCTAATTAATCAAATGTTTTTTCTAAGCAAGGAACTTAACTGCAATTAGAAAATTCTTTTTCGAGAATCTATCAAAAATTGTACCATAAATTTAGGCTCACTACATAGAACTCTTAATGATTAGAGAAAGTGACCTTAAATTCTAGTAACACTAGAGAGTCATAGACAGTTTAAATGAAAGCTGTCGCACAAAATTCTTTAACTTAACTAATAAATATGCACTCTATAGTAGTGAGTCTCAAAGACAACTTGAAAAATATCGAAAGTGATCGAATGAAAGATCATTTAATACCAGATTTGTCCATGTAGCATCATCGAAGGGCATACTCATCACACAACTGAGCATTTAAAACCATATCCTCTTACGTAAGTTTACCATAAGACTTCAAAAAAAACCTAACATAACCTATTTGAGTTAGTGCTCATGTGTCAATTTTTGGAAAACAAAAATAATTAAATGTATCTATTATTAATTATTTAATTTATTTGATAAAATAATTATTTATTATTTAATATATTAATTTATTTTAATTACTTAATATTAACGCCACTATTTTCATGAAACTACTTGCATGCTAAAACGTACTCTTCTTATTACGTTAATCAATTTTTATAGCCTCAAAAAAAAAAAGTTAAAAGAGAGTAAAAAACTTAATTAATTTTATTAACAGTTACCAAAAATTCTCTTAAGAAATAAATCAACTGAAAGAGCAGCTAAAAAATCAGTTAACACATATCAGCAAGCAAAAAAAAATAGAATGAAATTAATAAAAATAAATAAATTCCCATAAAAGGTAAGTCAAGTCGGTGCATGCACTTTCGTACAAAATTCCGTGTAAATAAATAATAAAAATTAATCTTAAGAGTTTAAATTTTATAAACAGTAAATAAATAAATAAATAAATAAGAGGAGTTGAATGTGATAACATAAATTCTGTTTATTATTGATTATTCTAATTAATTAATAAACAATAATTAGCAAATATGTAGTTCAGTTCATAAAAATTAATCTTAGCAGTGCGAATCAAACAAATAAAAACAAAAACAAACATTAAAAATTCACAGAAACGGAAAAGAAAAGCTGAGTCGGTTTTTACGCGCCAAGCCATTGGCTTTTTAATTCTGTTTTTTTTTCTACTCTGTGTTTTTTTTTTTTAATTAGTCTGTATTGTATTTTACTCTGTGCTTTTTTTGCTCTGTGTTTTTGTTTTTTTCATCTTCTTCCTCTGACTATTTTGCTATACGTATCTCTATTAGTTCTTGTAAATTTTTTTATTGGGGAATTTTCAATTGAATTCAAAAATACAAAAACAAACACAAGCCACACAAGTTCACACAAACTCATGCAAATAGCCAACCTCACAGCCAACCTCACAGCAATTCTCACGAATTCCCATTTAAACACAAAAAAATGAGTTTCTTATCTGTCACCTCCGCCAGAAATAAGAGAAAAATTATTGAATTGAGTAAGCTTTTGTGGCAATGCGCTGAGCACGAATACATGTGAAAGCTTATAATTTCTTATGAAATTCAATGGCGAACGAAGCGTGGCGGAGAGCCACCCTATAAAAGCGAACGCTCTTCAGTGTGGTTATTCATTGTGAAATTAAAAATCAAAATTGAAACAAGCCGAAGCAAACGCAGCGGATAAAACGCGCTAAGAAATCTCAAGTGAAAAAGTTACGGAAAGAATTTCATAACAAATCAAGAAAATTTAAGTTTAGCGGAAAATCGCGAAAAACTACCGGCAAATCATAAACAAAACGCAGTGGATTAAATTTACACAGCAAAGAAACAAAAACAATCAAAAAGAAGTGTTAAAAACAAAAAATTGTCACAAAAGACATTTTGCATACAAAAAATTTGAACAATTTGAAGAATTTGAAAAATTTGAAGAATTCAAAGAATTTAAAGAAATTGAAACTTTCTGAAGAAAGCAGTGTTAAAATCACAAACTTTATAAGTTTACAAAAATCTACACAAACCTCAGCGGATATAGCTGCCTACCTTACAACAGTGCAATATAAAAGCCTGAAAATTCCTCCATACGAGCAACACTTTGCCTTTACTAGTGAACACAAAATGGTCGTAGAAGAAACCCAATACCACAGTATTTCCAATAAAGAAAACATTGACAACGCCGTCATGGATTACTCAAAAATTGGACGCACAGTCAAGTCAGCATTGCTGAAAGCCCAAGCTGAATCCCGTGTCATTGTGGGCCTCAGTGCAGCCATTAAAGTCTTATCGAATGCACCTGAAGGTTCACTCTTCTGTTTGATGGCTGTACCAGAAGACGGTGACTCTGCCATGCACATGCATGAGGTGCTACTCGAAGCCTTCTGCTATGAGAACGACATTTACGTCATCAAAGTCGACAGCGCAGCCAAATTAAGCCGCATCTTGGGTAAAACAGATATGGAATCATGCTGTCTTGTACAGAAAAGCTGGTCTGGTGATGATCAGCACGAAGAACAACTCAACAAATCAGAAAATCTATTAGTTGACTATTGTGAAGCATTTTGGGATTCACCACAGCATCCCATTGTTGAGCTACCAAACGTGTGAATTTGTGTGTGTGTGTGTGTGTGCAGTAAGCAATTTTGAACAAAATCCCTACTGAGAGGGTAAAAATGGTTTAAAAATAATGAAATACGTCCACGGTGTCTGGATAATGCCGACATTTGCTGAATGTTGATATAATAACAAACAAATTTTGGATAATAATGGAGTAACCCTAATTTAAGTTATCTACTTAATACTTAACAATTAACGGGAATATTCAAGTTGCAAGTATTCCAAAACTTATGTATGTATGTAAGACTATCTATCACAAGCTTACGTTTAAGTTAAAATTTTAATTTAAATAAAATTGTTGAAAACGAAAAATGTTAAAAAAAGATTGTTTGGAAGAGAAAAAAAAATTGTTTTAAAATTAAAAGCTAATTAAAGAATTTAAATTTTAAGTAGAATATCAGCTTAAAAATATTGCAAAACATAATTTACATATTAAAGAACCCGCAGCGTACTCGTTCGATTATAAGTACGAGTACGAGTGCGGGAAGCGAGTGCAACAGTTGCACTTGCTCGAGACTTTCACTGATAAAATATAAAAAAAAAAAACTAAAAACAAAAAAAAAATGAGGAAGTAAACTTAAGTAATTCACAGCTTACACTTAGCAAAATTTTATATTAAAATTTTCACGCAATAATTTCATTACTCGTACGAGTGGCGAGTAACGAGTTGCGAGTTGCAAAATGACCTTAAATTGGATTGTACAATATTGAAAGGCAACTTATTTAGTTAATAACATTTTATGATATATTTTTTAAAAAAAATAAAATGTTTAAATTAATAACACAAAATGAATGTAAAGAAATTGTAACTGCTGATTTATGAAACAAGAAGATAAATGAAGTTTTTGTTATGTTAGCTTTTTGTTTCGAAGTAACTTGTTTTTTTTAATATAATTAAAAATAAATTATATGTTATTTTAAACTTTAAGTTTATTTTTGTATACCTGTATGAAAAATTATGTTTTTAAAACAATTAAAAATGAAAAGAAAACCAAAAATAAAAATAAAAGAAAATTATGAATTCAAATTTATTTGTTTTATTTTAAAAAAAAGATTATTCGATATAGTATACATTTGAAAAAGGGAAGTTTGTTTCTATTTATGATATTTAAATCATTAAGAAAAATATATGGGAAGTCAATCTATTTCATTCACTTGCATTAATATATGCGTCATAGCACATATAATAATTTAATTATTTTACATTTGAAAATGGAAAGTTATATTCAATAGTTTCATACAATTTATCCTGAGGATAAGAAAAACGAGTTCAATGGCTGGCACGGAAATATAACAACAGACATCACAACAACATAACATCAAAGACGACAATATGGAATCAAAAACGCTCACAACATTATATATGCATATGACATGCTTATGATCGGTCTGCATTGCGAAACCGAAATTCATATTTGCTAAAGACGCTCCTTTTATACGTACTTTAGAGCCTACATTTGAACAAAGGAAATGCATGTAAATCCTTAGTGCTTGTCGATAAGCATTACCAAAACAAAATTGATATATACTAATAACGCTCCTATTATTTGTACTTTAGAGCCTAAATTTAAACAAACTAAAACTATGATTGCTCATAGTATATAATATTATATTATTTATAAAATTATATCAAAATGGTTACAGGGTCCTCGGGGAGATATGCAGATCTGAAGTCAATTATTGCTTAGTCTGATGAAGTGATAAACAATAATCTAATCAAGATCTAAAGAGGGGTTTTTAAAATACCTCGAGTTAAGAAAGAGTATAAGTGCTTAAGTGCACTAGCTCAAAACAGCTTCAACATAATAATAATATAAAAATACTATTTAACTTACAAAATTTGTTATCAAATTCTTTAGTAGATAGAAACTTACTACAATATATTAAAAAAATAAAACCCTTTTTTAAAAAATTGATAAAATCATCATAAATTAATACTATTAAGATACTTTTCAATAGATGTCAACATCTGACGGAATTCAAAATAGCTCTATTGTTTTATGTTTTTCAAAAGAAGGAAAATATCAAAAACCGTATGATGAAACTTTAATCCACTTAAACTACTTTTTAGGAATAAACTATGATTATCTTTTAGTCAACTATTGGTAAAGAATCAATAAAGAATAAATTGCTAAAATATTTTAGTCAGTTATGCCTAAAAACCCCTGATTACAAAATCAAAGCTTAAATTTAAGCTAAGGTTAAATAAAAATTTAAGTCAAAGTTCAAGAGGTAGCATCCTAACCTTGGCCAGGTATAATGCAACAAATTGTGGTCAAAGAAGGACCAGTAGTACTTTCATTTAGTATCTAATTGGATTTCATTAACATAGATTATCAACTTTGCCATTAACAATATATGTATTTTTGAACACAAATCCATTAAAAATTATTTTAAAAAAATTTTAATTAAAAAATTATATCAAAATCTCTGATGTGTTTTCTTTCAGTCTAGCGTTTAATAGTGAACTTTCTGCTTCTAATAATTTCTGTTATATTTCTTTAAAAATACTACTGCTTTAAAAACAGGGTCTTTCCCTTTTTCGTTTTAAACGTTTCCTGCATTTGTTCAATATATTATTTCACTGTTATTGTTCTAAAGTTCGGGTTCTTCCCTAACTTAAAAAGAAAAAAAAATTTTTTTATACATTATTAAAATGAAAAATATATATTAAAAGCTATTAAACAATAAAAAAGTTAAATTAATTAATTAATAAATATGAAAAAAGAATTGACTTTGGATTTAGTTATAAAAAAACAAACATATATATTGCTAACATAAATAATTTATGTAATAAATGAATTACTTATTATTTTTTTTTTATCTAATTTTTTTATGTTAAAATTATTTGATTTATGTATAGATATACCTATGTATCTATGTATATATGTTTATGCATGATGCTATCAATAGGCAGTGTCACCTTTTTCCTAAGCCAATGTGTATTCTGCTAACTAGGCAGAGAACCAAAATAAACTCAAAATAGTGTTAAGACATTTGGATCCAATTGTCAATTTGTTTATAGGGATAAAAGTCTATTAACCATGTCTTTAACTTGTGTCGCCAAGGGCCCCAACGCCTATAAGTGACAACTTGTAGCCAGTTAGCTCAACTTACCGAAGGTAAGTAGTATAAACGGATTAATCTTGCATTGTTGTTCTAGAATATCTCCAGCTTATATGATATCTCGAATCTTATCCTCTATCGTTTTAAAAAACTATTTCTTCACAAAAGTGTAAAAAGTATTATGATGAATAAACTTATATTAAAAAAAATCATAAAATGAATACAAAATAAGAAGTAAAAGTAATGTTATGGGAAGATTTTCATGCTAAGTACATAGGTACATATATATTTTGTGGTATCGGTCTGATGATTTTAATATGTAGATACTTAATAGTGCAACTGTTCTTTATTACGGAAGGAGCTGGTCTTCTTGTTTTTTTTTTCTATATAGTTCATCTCTGCTACATATTATTTCATTACTTTTTAATAGGGAAAGTATAACCGTATGCCTTCTCTTTCTACACAAGTTAAGTTCTCCAGTTTTTATATATAAATGCAACTACATTACATGTAATGTAATACTACATTACAGAAGTACTATTATTTACATTAGAGTTATATAGAGGTTTTTCGAACAGTAGTGAATTAAAACAACAAAAATTAATTTTATATTATTATTATTATATTATTTTATATTAGAGTTATATACATTACAGAAGTACTATTATTTACATTAGAGTTATATAGAAGTTTTTCGAACAGTAGTGAATTAGAACAACAAAAATTAATTTTATATTATTATTATTATATTATTTTATATTAGAGTTATATTGTAATTAAACAATCCCAAAAAGATAAATATAAATAAACCCTCAACCTCTAACTACGGTCGAATTTCTCATGTCTCATTTCACTATCGTAAAAATGAAAAATGGTCTATTCTTGAGAAGTGGCCTCGATCGATCTGTCGATTTGTGTGTATAACATATATAATACTCATACATAATACATAGTTAATAAATACTTAATGCTGTTTAAAATTTTTTTCTAAGTCATTAATTCATAAATTTTTAAATATTATGTTTCATAATTCTAATAAAAATTTTAAAATTTGAAAATCCTAACCGTTTAAATTTCTTTTCTGCAACACGTCTATCTGTTATCAATAAAGGAACCTTCTTATACAATATTAGTTTTTCTAAAAATTTAATAAAAATAATTCCAAAAATTTTGCCATAATCAGCACAAACATTTTTGAAAATAAACTTTTTAATTATTTAAACAATTTACGTAAATGTTGCTTAAAAGAACACATAAATTTTAAATGAAGCAGAGCTTCGAAATTTTTATCTGCAGTTCGTGGAAGCAGTTTTTTAGTGTTAAAAGTTTTTAATTTTTATCAGTTCCAGCAAAACGTTTTTATCACATGTGCAGACAAATAAGAAAACTGGATTTTAGGTACGAAGATATGCCAACGATTCGGTATTTCCCATTCAATGAATCTTTTTAGTAGTGCAAGAAGAAAACCTTATCTGCAGCGCGACTTTTACGACTTCTCAAAGATACTCTTCACTGATCGTTTGCCAAGTACACTCCTCTACATTTCTGGGGTTTACATTTTTTTACAGTTCGCATTTTTGAAATCACTTGCGAGTACTTTTATTTATTTTGCATTTATTACGTCGACTGGCATATTCATTATATTCATTACCTAGAAGAGTTTAAAGTACAGATATTTGCATACTTAATTCAAAGCCAATTTGTTTGAAAACTAATTTACATAATACTCAGATACATTGTCTGAGTATGCGTACAAGTCTAACTTTATATTGGATATAATTTCATAATGAACAGAGAGAGACATATGTATGTATAAAATTATGTGAGGTATTTACCAAAGCTTAAATATATATATGTACATAATTAATTTATAAATAGATACACCAAATGGGTTCTTCATATATATGTATGTAAATAATAAAAAATAATTGCTGAGTTTGCGTGAGGTCGCGACAGTGATTCATAGGGTTTATAAGTGCGTTCCATACATGACAATGCGTTTTTTTTACTTGATTCGGTTTTGAATTGAAATAAATTTAAACCAAAAGAAATCAGTTAATCAACTTTTTACCAAAGATAACACACAATGTTATAGCAATTATTGATAGTAAATAGAAAAAATTTTTAACTTTAATACTTTTCTTATATAATTGAGCTAACATATTCATGTCTAATGTATCGATAAAAACCTATTTAATATATATGAAAATGA